TTTATGTCATGCTCCAAACCTGAGGGAGCAGTTGCCGTGTATGATGTTTTTATTTTTAAAAGTATAAAATATCTGAACATATTTCACCAAAATGAAAGTCTGTTTCCAGCAGTGCACACTGTTTGAAACATACCCTCTAGGTCTCATGTGGGCAGTGATAGCTATTCCTGTACATGCATGGAAATGGCTTCAGGAATAAATACCACTGATGCACCACACACACTGTTCCGCGGTGCTGCCTTGAACACCCAGCGGTGTCTCCAAGATCCTGTGACACTAGTACATGTATCTGACTGTGATCTTACAATTTTTTTTATCTGTTTCAGAGTATTATGTAATATGGGCACATCAGGATTTTGTTATCATTCCGTTACTATTGGACAGTCAGGCTGTTTCCTTTTTCAATTTTAAACACACTAACAATGATGAATATAAATTCTGTCATCCTTTCCTATGTATGTACGAGCATTTCTGTAAGGCCAGTACCAAGAAGATGCTAAGCATCTTAAAATGCTTAAACCAGCCTCTAAAAATAAGTGTACCAGGAGTATTCTCACTAACAGTATCTGGGTCCCTCCTCACAAATACCCCCGCCACTACACAAACAGCACCCATTTCCCCACCTCAAAATATTTCAAAACAAAACCAAACTTAAGAAAGTTTTTGCTGGGGTGGTGGCTCATGTCTAATCCCAGATGCTCAGGAGATAGAGTTGGGAAGTTTCACAGTTCAAGGTCAAGACTCCATCTCAACCAACGAAGTAGTTAGACATCGGTAGCATGCATCTGCCATCCCAGCTACATGAGGAGTATACAAAGGAGGACGGGGGTCCAGCTTGGCCAGAGGCACCTGAAGCAAAAGGGCCTGGGGCATGGCTTAAGTGGTAGGCACCCACCTCGCAAGATGAGGCCCTGAGTTCAAGTCCCCAGTACTGCCAAAAACGTCTTTGCAGAAAGTGCAGAACCACAATCATATCTTATTTGCTGTCTCTGGACTATGAATGTGTTAAAATCTTCTCGTATATACAAATTAGCCATTTGTATTTTTCCTTCAGAGAAACGCCTGCTGGCAATCTGTATTGGCTGGAGAAGTTCTTTCACTGTATATACAGCAGCATTTCCTCCTCACCAGTTTATTAGGGCTCTCAGTTCCTCTGTCGTACAGAAGGTTCACGAACAAAGCTTTCAAACTCACAATGTTTGCCTTACTTGCTATTCCAGGTCCCTAAGGCTGCTGTATGTAACAAAATACTACAAAGTCAGTGGCTTAAAACAATAGAAACTTATTTTCTGACAGTCTGGAGGCTTCAGTCTGAAAGCAAGGTGTCCCTAGGGCCACCCTCCTGTGGCTTCACCGGTGAGCTCTTAGCAGTTGATGGCAATCCTGAGCACTGCTGGCTCAGAGCCGCATCCATCCAGTTTCTGCCTCCACTGTCTGGAGGTGTCTGTGTCCACATTCCCTTCTTCTTCAAGAACACCAATGATCAGATTAGAGCACACCCTAATCCACTATGGCTTCATCTTTACCTCACCTGCAAAGACCTGCGAGACAACACGTTAAGGCTTCAACTTGCCTTCTGAATGGGAGAGACACAAGTGAAATCGTAACAGAGGCTTTGCTAGGAGCCCTTGATATTTATGCTCATGAGAGAAGCTGGCCTGTACTCATCTGTTCCTGCAATATCTTTGTCAAGTTTTGGCATGGGGATTCTTCTATGAAATGAGTTAATTCTCTTGTCCTTTTATACCTGTTACTGGTGGCGTGTGGACACATGGTGTCCATCCATCCTGTTGAGAGCTTGGTGGGTCTACAGAACCAAGACGTTTGTCTTCTACCTTGCATGCTTCTTCAGAGTTAGGGTTTCTTCTTTCTGTTCTCTTCTTCAACTACAAGAGTCATGTTACACTTCTGGATCTGTCTTCCATCTCTCCTAACTCTTCCCATTTTCTGAGTCTCTCTAGTGGATTCTTTCCCTATTGCTTATTCTTGTTCCTGGAATCTTACAACTTCACTTATTCTTTGACAATACTGTAAAAGTGTCTTTTACTCTCTTGTACTCTGTTTTCTCTGATGTTAATTCTTTCCTTCCCCTTTTGGTGACTCTGGGGTCTGAACAGGGCCTTCAGCTTGCCAGGCAGGCACTCTACCACTTGAGCCCTACCCTTAGCCCTGCACCTCTTCTATTTGAGTGCCTGTATTAGTTTCCTATGGCTCCTTTGACAAATTATCATAAACTTGATGCCATAAAAAATAAAAATTTATTCTCTCACAGTCAGTTATCAATGAGCTGAAACAGAGGTATTGACTGAACCACATTCCATCTGGAGGGGAGAGCACATTTCGGTCTTCCTTAGGTTGTGGTACATCATTCCAATTTCTGCCTCTATGGTTACACTGCCACCTTCTCCTCACTGTCAAATGTTCCTCTGCCTCTTCCTCATAAGGACACTTGTGCATAATTCAGGACAATCTCCCCATCTCAAGTCCTTCATTTGATCACATCTGCAGAGGTCTCTCATAAAGACACTTCCATTTACAGGCTCCAGGGATTGGGACTCGTATTTTTGAGGGTCATTATTCAGCTCACTATAGTGCCTTTTTCCTACGGCTTGTTTTCTAAACTATTCAGGAGTAATTTTTGACTATCTGTTCATTTGCCTTTAAACATCTCACATGCTTATCTCAGCCTACTACTGTACATATTTGAAGCAGGGTGGGGGCAGTGCAATTATTTAGTCTTCTGGGCAACACGAGAGAGTTTCTTATGGGTATTAGCAAAAATTTAGAGATCAGTCTTACTTCTTTGCTTACCTTGTTTTTACTTACTGTTCCTAGTTGAGAACAGACACCTCTGGTGGCTGCAATTCGGTATAATGGAGGTAAGACTGTGAAGGTTACACCACCATACAACATTATCAGTGACACTCCAAAGACTTATCCCTTCTTTCTTCAGTAACTGCTAACTCTAAGACTGGAATATGCAAGTTGCACCTACCATTTTCAGTAGTGCCCTCCTGGCTGCGTTTCACTAATTTCTTTCTTTAATCTGACCAAAGCTGACTTCTGTTTTTCAGAATGCCTTACAATTTCTGGGCCACTGAGAAAATTCTTCTTGGTTTCCAACTTATTTATAGGTTTTATATTGTTGTTAAGTTTTTTTTTAATCTTTCCCCCAAAAGTTTTGAGGAATATTGAAAACTGGAGTGTGTCTACAGATACCCTTTGTTCAAATTCCAAACTATATTTAAACCGTATTTAATTCCTTTTCCTTACTTGACCACCATCTTAGCTTTGTATGTGTCATACAAAGTTCTGAAAACTTAAAATTACCTTGTTTCATGAAAACTTTTTATTATATATCATTATATAGTGTACAACAAACAGGTCATTTTATTTCATCAAATGAGCCAAAATGAATAGGTAAAACGGAAATATATATATAATAATGGGTTGAGAAAAATTACATGATTGAAGAAACAGTCTTACTTGTGATAAGTCTAAGACAGTATTCTAAAGAATAGGTTCTAAGATGAAAATATATCGTTTTTTTTAAGAGTGGATACATGGTTAGAAAAAATAGTATTTTCGAGTAGTTGTGTTAGAGCAAAGAATAAAATACGAGCTGTTTCTTATTGAGCTAAGTGGTTTAAGGAAAAACAAAAACCACTGTATACAGTTCTATTTTTAGGCTAGAGAACAGAGCATCAATGTAAGATTGGATCATTCTTAGGATAACTGCCACCACATGTGGCAGAAGTTCTCAAGTAGACGCCACCCAGACACACAGGGAGCAATTCAAACTTGAGACTTCTACTCCAGCCTCAGACGCCTTCCAGATCTGAAATGAGCACTCACGTGTGAACTCAATGGAGCAGTAACTAACACCTTGAGCGTATGAAAGAGGAAGTGCCCTGTTAGATGAACACTAAAGCCCCAAACACAGTACTGAGCATGCCTGAGTCCTTGTCCTGTAATCTCATTGATAAGGGCGTCTTTGTGCCTCAGTCTCAGTCTGTGCAGTATCTCTAAAGATTCCTGCTGTCCCAGAGGTGGGGGACCAGTGTCTCTGTGCACCTGTAATGCATTTGTAGCACTGTTGTATCTTGGTCTACAGTTTGGAGGTGTGAGCACACCACTTAAACTGTCATCTTTGGTCTCCGGGGAGCTAGTTAAAAAGGCAGAATCTTGGGCTGTACCTAGACCTACTAAATCAGAATCTGTACTTTAACAAGCTCCCTAAGTGACTCAATGCACACAGTGCTCCAAGAAAACTCTCAGTACTAAAATTCAATGAACCTACGAATTTGTTTCATAGAAGTATATTTTACAATCTTATTAACATTCCATATTATAGACAAAATTAAAAACTTTTACACAAATTTGTACCTAGTTTAAAAATAAAATAGACCAACGTTCCAGGCACCAGTGATTCAAACCTGTAATCCTAGCTACGCAGGAGACAGAGATCAGGAGGATCGTGGTTCGAAGCCAGCCCAGGGAAATAGTTTGTGAGACCCTATATTGAAAAAAACCTATCACAAAAAAGGGCTGGTGGAGTGGCTCAAGGTGTAGGCCCTGAGTTCAAGCCCCAGTACCACAAAAAAAAAAAAAAAGGACAAATATTTTATTTGTTAATTAGAAAAAGGGAAGTCCATTTACCTGCTTGTACAGTTGTCTCAAATACATGATCTCCTCCACAGTTCCCAAGGAAATCAGCCTGAACACCTTGACATCTCTGCACTGCCCGATCCTATATGCTCTGAGGAAGATGAAAACCAACAAGTCATGCAAAACACTTGAGGCAGCTTTTGTACATAAAGGTGGAATATTTAGGTATGCCATATTATTTAGCAATAATGCAAATATATATATCCTATAAAGACTAGTTACTGAGGAAAATCTTACAGAGAAAATATACACACCAGCCTCATTTCTGTTATGAACACCACTGTCCAGTGTGCAAAAACTTTTACTAAATTCAGCAATCCTTAATGGTGCATTGTTACTCAAGGATTTCATTTTTATGAAACTCCTCCAAATATAAACTAATCCACAGTGAGAGCAAGCTGATTGGGTGGCTTGGGGATAAGAGAACATAGAGGGGCAGAAGAGAGAGATTACAAAAGAGCACAAGGAGAATCTGGGGTTGATGGATGTGTCCATTATCTTGGTTGTGGTGATGGCTTCACAGGTGCACACAATTGCTAGGGCCCAATTTATTATATGTCAATTATTCCATAATAAAACTGTTCAAAAGCAGAACAACAAGCAACCCCAGCCCCACCAAAACCTGTGTGAAAGCAGGTAGTCAACTGGAAAGTCTGTGAAAGTGCAGATTTGGAGTTCTCATCCACAGAGTGGGGTCTGACTGAAGGACTCAGGTGACTGGTACCCCTGGTACTCTGATGCAGCTAATTACAAGTCTAACCTGCGTCCCCATGATGGTTACCTTGGGTCAGTTCCCTTAGCTTTTCAGATGGAGGCTGTAGGGTGGTCTGGATGAGGTCTCCTGCTCCTAGATGCCTGTGGAGGTTGCTGAGGGGAATACCAGCAATGGCCTGCTGCCTACACGCTTGAAACATTCCCCCATTTGGGGGGAATTAATTTTTGAGCTTGTGAGGCCACTGTATCTACTGTTACACTTAAGTGTTCCTTCTGGCTCTCCTCACAGAGTGGATGCTTACTGGAGAGGGAATGGAAGCTCTATGACAGCCCCGCCAGGACAAGGGGCTGCATTCTCACTTCCTCTTGTAAGCTAGAGGAGGGGAAGGGCTCACACTGTTTCTCCCATAATGCATTTGGGCTCCAGAAAATCAGAAAATGACCTTTGGGGATGTGCCTAGCCCACTACTTGGTGACTGGAACAGTCTGTTAGAACACCTATCTTTCTTCATACTTGTTACTATGGAACTACACTTGGTCAATTTCTTGGTACATAAACAGGGATTTGTAAGTCCTCATAGGGCCCCATCCTTCACCATGTAGAAACAAGTAGTTATGTAACATGTACATGAATGTCTTCATTTCTCTTCCCAGTTCTTTCTGCCAGAGGGACAGTAGGGAGGGCGAGGAAGAGCAAAGCAGTGTGTTTTGAGAGGACAGTAGGATGGATAAGATATAGTCTTGATGGCGTACATGAAAAAACACAAGGAAAATGAAGAAAATAAAGGAGATTTCTCTGGTTCCTCGTGGTTTTGTCTGTTTTCCTTGACAGCTGTCAGTGCAGAGGGGCTGGCTAAAACTTCACATTTCGGTCAGGCTGCATGGGCTTAGAGCCAGGCCTGGCCATTTACTGGCTGTGAACCTGAGCAAGTTAACAATATCATTCATCTCAGCTGCCTCACAGGTGAAAAGGGTTTGATAACAGTTTCTATCACTAAGGATACTGGTAATCCACAGAAAACACTAAGAACAACAATTCCTGAGCCACTCTAAAAACAAATGTAGTTACTATCCTTTGTCCTTATTCTTTAAATGTATTTGTATAAATTTGTACAGAAAATGGGCACTATTAAGGCCAGGTGTGTGGCTCAAGTGGTAGAACACCTGCCGAGCAAGCATGAAGCCCTGAGTTCAAACCCAAGTACCACCTCTCCCCTAAAAAGGTTCAATGTACAAGTAAGTATTATTAGTGCTTAGTAACCCTTCCTGCTTCTTTAGATTTTCTGGGCATTTGCCCAGTCTTTCAGATCAGGCTTTTCACAACCTTGTCTATGTTGCTCTTTATAATGAATGACTTAACATTTATTTTATGCAATAATGTATCTTTGTATATGATGTCTATACTATTTACTTTGTTGTCTACTTTTCTAACTTATAACCTTCTTTCAGTCTTTCTTTTCTGAGAAATTAAGAACCTAAATTAGCATCAGAACTTGAATAATGATCCTTAGTTATTTCACTGATGCTTACTTCTAAATAACTAACTCACTTCTTTCAAGTCTCTTGATTGCTTCTCTTTTCATCTTGCTAACATGATGAAATCCTTTCAAGTGTGCAGTTTAATAGCATGAAGCACACTCCCACTGCTGCGAAACCATCGTGACTACACACAGACTGAGATTCCTTCCCCACCCAATAGCAACTCCCCCATTCCCTGGTCCCCGCCCCTAGCCACCACCATGCTTTTTCCTATCTCTACGAGTTTGGTTAGTTCAGGTGCAGGATATTAGTAAAACCATATGACAGCTGTCCTTTTCTGGCAAAAACATGCACCAAATTTGAAAACAGATGAAAAAGATTCAGTCTTTTACCACTGAGTGAGAAGTTAGCTGAGAGCTCTGCATAAATGGTCTTTATGTTGAAGTAACTTTATTCTTCATTTGCTCTGTGTGTATTTTTTTTTTTAATCATGAAAGTCTGTTGAAGTCTTTCATTGTGGGTTTTTCCTTTATTCATTAACATGGCATAATATACTGATTTTTATATGATGTTGAGCCATCCTTGCATTCCAGGAATAAATCTTACTTCGTGTAGCATACTTTCACTATGCTTTGGAATTTGGTTTCCTGATATTTTTTTGAGTATTTTTCTATGGATATTTATAAAGGATATTGAGCCTTTTATTTTGTTTTGGTAGTGTCTGACATTGATACATTGATGTGGGGGTAGTGATGGTTTCAGGGAATGAATTACAAAGTTTTTCTACATCATTTTATTTTCTTATTTATTTTTGGGAAATTTGAGAATAGTTTGTGTTAACACTTCAGATGTGACTTTTCATTGTTGGGTGGCTTTTGATTACTGACTCAAATTCCTTACACAGTCACCTTCAGACTTCTCAATGATTTCTTCGTAATTCAGTCTTAGGTTATGTACTTACAGGAAACTGTCCATTACCTAGAATAGGCTATTTGTTGGTACACAATTGTTCATAGCACTCTTGCACCACCACTGTATTTCTAAAATTGGTAGCAGTGCCCCTCTTTTACCTCTGACTTTATTTGAACTTTATTTGAACTTCACTTCTTCCTCTTAGTCAATCTAACCAAAGGCTTGCCAATTTTCTTGGATAATTTCAAAGAACCAGTTCTTGGCCTTATTGTTCATCTACTCTCTATTGCTGCTTTAATCTTTGATATTTTCTTTCTTTAGCTAGCTTTGGGTTAGTTAGTTTTTTCCCAGTTCCAAAAGTAAAAAAATTAGATCACTGATTTAAACCTTTCTTTTTTTTTTTGTTGGTTGGGACTTGGGTTTGAACTTGCTTTGAGCTTGCAAAGCAGGTACTCTACCACTTGAGCCATGCCTCCAGCCCAATTTTGGTCCTGTTATTTTGGAGATGGGGGTCTCACTAACTATTTGTCAGGGTTTGTTTCAAACTGCAATTCTGCCAATCTCAACTTGCACACAGTCCTCCTTCTCTTCCTCCTGCTCAACCTTCTTCTCCTTTTTTTTTTGCAGTACAGGGGTTTGAACTCAGGACCTCATGCTTGCTAGGCAAATGCTCTACCACTTGAGGCATTCCACCAGCCCATTTTTGTGAAGTGTGTTTTGAGACAGGGTCTCAGGAACTATTTGCCCAGGGCTGACTTTGAACTGTGATCCTCATCTCTGCCTCCTGAGTAGCTAGAATTACAGGCATGAGCCACCAGTGCCCAGTCATAGCCATAAATTTCTCTCTTAGCTCTACTTTCATTTGATCCAATAAACTTTAGTATTTGTGTTCCCATTTATCTCCAGGTAGTTTGTAACTTCTTTGCATTTCTTCTTGACCCTTTACTGGCTTAAATGTGTGTTGTTTCGTTTCCCTACATTTGTGGATGTTATACTTTCTCCTTCTGCTGGAGATTTCTACTTTCATTTCATTGCAAATGGAAAGATACACTGGATGATTTCATCCTTGACTTTATTAAGGCTTGATTTGTGGCCTAACATATGGTCTATGCTGGAGAATGCTCTCTATTTGTTCTTGAGAAAAATATATCCTGCTGTTGCTCTGTTGGAAGGAGAGCCATGTATTTGTTGATTATGTCAATTTGTCTACTGTGTGGTTCAAGTCCTCTCTTATTGAGCTGCTGCCTGGATGTATTAAGCACCACTGAAGGGGGTGTTGAAATCTCCAACTGTTACTGTGGAACTATCTGCTTCTCCCTTCAGTTCTGCCAGTGCTTGCTTCATGTATTCTGGAGCTCTGATGTTTGGTACGCTTAAAATTGTTATAGCTGATAGGGCAAAGTAATTTTCTGAACCATAGTATAATGCTCTTCTTTTCTTCTAGCAACACTTTCTGACTGTCAGTCTACTGTGTCTGCTATTAACACAACTGTCTCTTTTCTCTTTCTGTTAATATTTTCGCGGACTGTTTTCTTCCATCCTTTTTCTTTTTCATGGGAGCAACGATAGGAAATAGGATCCTAAGATTACAACAGTTTATGTTAATACCAACTTAACTCCAGTTGCATTCAAAATATCTATTTCTGCAGAGCTCTGTTCCTTGCTGTCACAAGTTACATCTCTATATATTGTGTATGCACTGATGCGGATTTATAAATGTTTTATGCATCTATCTTTTGAATTCTGCTGAAAACAAGTAGAGATAAAAGCCAAATTAGAATAATGCTATTTATTCATTGGAGAATTATATTTTCATGTGGCTGTGAGTTAATGTCTAGCATCTTCATTTCAACTTGAGGCTCTCCCTTTATAACCTTCACCAAGACGTGCAATGTGTGTGAAGCGAGATCTCACTGTGGTGTGACGTGTTTGTTAGCTGTCCTCTCTCCCTACCCACCCCATTGCTGGGATCACACCCAAAGCCTCACATGCTAGGTAAGTGCTCTGCCACTGAGGATATTTATTTCCCTAATGATTAGTGGAGCTTAGTACCTTTTCATGTGCATTATCTTGCTTATCTTTTTGAATTTCAAGTCCTTTGCCCAATATTGATTTGGGTACTTTGTTGTTTTAAGTGTTCTTTATATATATGTGCATGTATGATACATATAATGTGTATATGTTACATGTAACATATGTATTATACATATTATATACACATTATATGTATCATATCACTACAGTGTCAGCGATGTGGCGTGCAAACATCTTTTCCCATCCTGTGGTCCTCTGGTGCATGGTCTGATGTTTTACAGTATAGACTGCAGTGTGTCTATGGAGCTCTATGGAATCAGATGCAAGGAGGGTGAAACCTGACCATCTGTGCCTCATTAATATTATATTATTATTAAGCCTCATTCTCTCTGTTGTTGCCCTTAATTTTTTGTTAGCATTCAAAAACATACGTTTGCATTGGTTTAGAGATCTGACTACGATATCCCGATTCTTTCCTGAGGAAAGAAAATTTCTAACAACTCCTTCCTCACTTCCAACCCTGATGTTTTACTGAAATTACATGGAGTTTCAGCTCTTGATTATTACTAATACATATCGCCGTGCTAGTCAATCAGTGACGGCAGCTGTGCGTTCTCGTGAAGCTGTGGATTTCACTCTTACACCTCTGTTGCATCCAGCTTTCTATAATGCAGATGGAAAGTCTGTTCTTAGTCTGAGTCTTGCTCATTGCCAACTTGCATTTTTCTTTCTAGTTTTGATTTTATAAATCCTTCTTTCTCTCCCTCTTTCTCACTCTAGAATCATTGACTCCTTCTCTTTATCTCAGGAAACTGGAAATATAACCAACCAAGAAACATGTCTTCCTGCCCTCTCTCAGATCTCATTCCTACTTAGTACTCAGTGGCTCTTCAAATGTAGCTACGTTTTTTCCAGTTCTGTTGTTACTTTCTCCCGATTGCCAGACTTTCTGTTCTTTACTTCTGGAGCTCTGCCTTTTCACTTTCTCTTTACTCACAATTCCTATTTGTCTCAGACTTTCTGTTCTGATTCCCTACTCCTATTTAGTCCGTCAGCATGTGCCTCTCTTCTTGTCTCTCTTCTTTCATGCCACCAGTCTTATGAAAGTGTCTCAGAATTTTTAACTTCTCATTTATAATTAAAATCAGGAAGTAGGTGCATTGTAATGGAAAGATGGTCTGGATTTCCACACCAGCCCCAGGTTTATTCAATCACTTCCCCTGTTTCTGTCCTGTGGGGATCTGGGATGACCTCAGGTCTGGCTCTCTTATGACTGGCTCTAACACCCTCCCTAGGAACTCTGTACAACAGATTCCCCATTTACTTATAAAATTTATGAAGTAGTCTTTCTGCTCTGGTGAAGGAGCACTTGTTATAGATAACCCCTCTGTAAATGGAGCTGTGGGAGGGGAGTTTGTTCCAGCATGCTACTTGATCAGCACTCTGGTCTACTCCCACCTCTTGCTCTTGCTAAGCTCCTGCTCGAGATTTCTCTGTTTTTTCTGCACACTCTGGATGGTGGTTTTCCTCTGATGACTTCTTGATCACACAGTTTTCTATCTGGTTTCTACCTTCCAGGAATTTCTCAAAATTCCTGATCTAGTAGTAAACTGTTCTGCTTTCCTTCAGTCTTATAGATTTTATTCTACAATCTTATAGATTTTATTCTTCAGTCTTCAGCTTTCCATCAGTCTTACAGATTTTATTCTTTCTTCTTATGTCGTTTCTGTCATTTTCAGTGGGATTTTTTGAGATGGAAAGGAATGAAATGGCTGTGATCAAACTGTATTTGAATTCAGAAGCTCAGGGTATCTGGAATACAAGTTTTCACAAGGCTCTCCCCTGCTCTGTGCAATCCTATTAAGAACAGTCTAAAATATTCAGTAGTATTTTTACATTAAAAGAATTTACAGGTGGTTTTAACTTTTGTCAGTACTATACCTGTCAATGGCTTGAAGATCGTTGGCTGGATTCCAAGTTGGATCGAATAATATAACAACATTGGCACCAACAAAATTGAGGCCTAATCCACCAGCCCTGGAAGAAGCAGAAAAGAGCACATTAAAATAGCATAGACTATCGCCAGGCATGGTGGTACCACCTGCAATCCTAGTACTCAGGTAGTGCGAGCAGAGAGATCACAAGCTCAATATCTCAAAAAACAAACAAACAGAAAACAAAGAAAACGACAAAATCCCTAGAACAGCATAAATTCTGCACTAGATAACAACTGTGGGCATTTTCTGCAACCAAAACAATATAGTATTGCATTAATATCACAGGAGCAGGGTGATTAAAACACAAACAAGCCTATGTAATGTATGCATGGCATACTCTTTTTCTACTACTCTAGGAAAATCTCTAATGAGAATTGACCATTGAAGCCCATGTAAATAGGTTTGTGTAAATGGCTGTGCTGGTTTTCACAATTTTGGGATACTCAAATACTATTTCTATCGGATTTTCCTGATGATTTTTAAAAATTATTAGTATATCCTAGACAAATAAAGTAGTACATACATTTGAAAATCAATCCAAGAACAGTTAGATTTTATGTTATAGAAATTGTGTCTTCCTATGTTTTGAATTTCCCGGTCTATGCTCCCTATATTTAATGATTACTTTATGCTAATGATTAAATTTTGCATTTTAAAAAGGAAGAGCGTAACTAAAATCCAAGAACAACTGGCTTCTTTTTCTTTTCTGCAGCCATTTTCAACTCCTGTCTCTCCAGCCTGCCTCTGAGGCTTTATCTTGCCAAATTCCCTTCTTAGGTGCTGATGCTGTATCTTAAAAGTCAACTCACATACATAGATGATGCTGATTATCCAGAGAGGAAACTGGTAACAATCTTCTCTCCTACCATTAGTATCAAAATGGAAAGAAATTCACCTTGTTGAGCATCTTCTATACATCAAGAATGATGATGTCTTCACATGTGAAAACATCGAGACAGCTCAATGAGTGGAACAGATTGAGAAAATGAGGTCTCCTTAGTGGAACCTAAGCATCCAGACTTCAAGCTGAGTGGTCAGTGGAAATCAGTTTTTGTCTTCTGGAAAATTACTTTCTGGAGATGCTAACATAAAGATGTCACAGAAGGGTTGGGGATGTGGCTCAAGTGGCAGAGTGCCTACCTCCTAGCCAGTGCAAAGCCCTGAGTTCAAACCCCAGTACCACCAAAAAAAAAAAAAAACACATAAGAGATTTGAATGCAAAGAAAGAGCAATGGGGAAAAGTTTCTGAAGAACAAAAAGAAACAGCCAGCCCCTGAGCAAAGGTAGGTCAGGGTTTAGGAAAATTGAAAGGTGCGTCTGTGTAAGAAATCTAGCCAGCTGCTCTGCTTCTCAGTGGAGAAGGTCCTTGCTGGGTGGGCAGCAGTCTTCTAAGAGGCTGAGGGATCACACAGAGGCCTGGCAGAGCGCAGCCAGGGCAAAGCCTGCTTCAGAAAACATCCTCAGCGCTATCTCTGGAGACAATAAGAGCTCAGTTCAACAAGCCTGTTTTCAAACCCCTCTCTGTTGGGACATGCTTGTAACAAAGGGTTACCACTTAAGCAACACAGTGTGTGAGCAGACACCAACGACAAGGGGCACAGACTGTTCGTTCCTTAGGGAGTCCATACGCTGCGCACACACATGAATATAGTGAAAGTGAGCCGTCGTCACATCTCAGTGTTCCACAAGCAACAACACCTTTAATGAACTGAGCTCTGTTGTGATGTAGTATTATGAAGGTTCAGGTGAAATAACCACTGCGTGATGCTTCTGAGGAAACTCTTAACAGTCACAGAGCAACACCATGTAAACGGATGGGAAGGTGTGATATCACGAGAATGCCAATTTTCCTCAAAGTTATTCATAAACATAATGATTCCAATAAAAACCCAACCCCAGGAAAAACGGCAGATGACCCATCTTTGATTATGGAAAACTAAGATAAAAATTGTTCAGAGAACAAAAAAGAAAGCAAGAAAAAAATTAGATTAAAAATGTGATTATTTCAAATAAAATGGTAAGATTAGAAAACAACATTTCTCAGAACATAAAGCAAAAGTGACAAAATGTGAAATGTGAGATTTAAAGAATTAATACAGGAGTCCTAGCTCAGCACTGGGGAAGATGAAACAGGAGGATTGTGAATTTGAGGCCAGCCTGGGCTACACAGTAAGATCCTGTCTCAAAAAAACCAGAAAGAAAAAAAAAGGATTAACATGGAGCTCTAAAACCTGACAACGTGGCATTCAGAAGAGAGAAGAGAGAAAAATGCAAGATGTTACAAAGAAATAAAGAGCACTTTCCAGAGGTGGCCCACAGTAAGACTCAAATATCACTGTGACATTTTAGCAGAGAAGGAAAGTCCTGTGTGCTGCACATGAAGACTGTGAATCACATTGGTGTTAGACATCTACTCAGCAACACTGAGACAATGCTGCCATGCCTCAGAGATCTGAGAGGAAATTATTGTCAAACTAGAATTCTCAAGTGGCAAAAGTATGAGTGACAAGGTACATAAAAGACATTTTCCATATTCAAGGATGCAGAAAATTTACTTTCTGTATCTCCTGGCTGACAAAATTTTTTCAGAAAGTTTCCAGGAGAACAACAAAATGAACCAAGAATGAAGATAGCATGGCATCCTGGTGAAAGAGCAAATGCAGAAAAGTACCTAGAAAACAATTAGGCTAGATTGAAACCACAAGATCAAAGGTTTCTGGAAGAAGGTCATCAGAACACAGAGCATTCAACAGGAGAGAAAAGCTGAGCAAGTTGTGAATGAAAAATGAAGTAAAGTGAAGTGTGCAAACATAAAACAACAGATGAAGCATTACAAAAGACAACTCATCAGGAGGCAGAGATCAGAAGGACTGCAGTTCAAGGCCAGCCCAGGAAAAAGTTTGCAAGACCCCATCTCAACCTAGGACACTTGCTTTTCATCCCAGCTACAGAGAAAAGTGGAAATAGGAGGGTGGTGGCCCTGGCTGGCTGGGGCATAAAGCAAAACCCTAATTTCAAAAATAACCAGAGCAAATAGGGCTAGCAGCACGGCTCAAGTGGTAGAGGGCTTGCCTGGTAAGCATGAGGCCCTGAGTTCAATCCCCAGTACTGCCAACCAAAAAAAAAAAAAAAGACCTCATTTGGTTGATGTTAAGACTATCCTCCCTGATCAGGCTGGAAGGTCATGAAGATTCAGAGAAGTTATCTTAGTACTACTTGGTCCAACATTAATCTATGTTTACAAAGTCATAGTAATGTAAATGCTGCTTTTTGGCCTCCAAATTTTAGAGCCTGGTTATTGTTATAGGACTTAATAAAAACATTAACAGCCTTGACAAAGTAAAAGTTAAAATAAATGGTGGGTAATATGGATTGGTAGGTGGGTGTTAATGTCATACATTACAAGGATTTAGAAGGTTTGTAGAAAGTTGATGGATCAAGCATTAACAATTGAAACTTTCCAGCAAAACGAAGGGAAACCAAGAACGAAGGCAATGGAACCTGGGAAAGATGGATCCAATACAGAAGAGCAGTGATTTAGAGTTACAAAACTAGTTTACAGAAATAAATAAGTAAAAACAGCAATAGTGAAAGTAGACTAGGTCCTCCTCTTACATAACAAAGATTTCAAGTTGTATAAAGCTGATAGACTTAGAATTCTGGCAAAATAATGGCTGTGCCAATGTGAACATACTTCTGCTACAGGAGAAACTAAGATAAGCCTTTGCAAAATGTGACAGTAAAATAAAACCCAAGCTTATTTGTCTCCTGCAAAACATACCTGAAGAATGTATTTATTATATTATGCAGGGTTTCCTGGCCTTGGTCAGGACATCTCACAGAAACAAGGCAGAAGCACATAAGTGGGAAACTCTTAACAACTGGTCTCCAAAGGATTTCCACAGAAGAAAAGAGCAGAAAAAGTCTGCACCAAAAGTAAGTTCAAAATAAAAAGTATAAACTACGTGAAGAAACCACCTACCCTAAACAAGAACCAGAGGAGACAACAAGCGGATGGGTCCGCATTCCCACACACAAATGCTGCAGTCCTCTGCTCTGCCACTGAGCCATCGAAGGGAGCCTTGCACACAAAAGCTAACAGAGCAAAAATGCCACTTGAAAAGAAACTTACTAAGATGTGATTAAATTACTAAAGAAATAAAAGGCAGAAATCGTAAAGGACAAAATTCGAGTAAATGGTAAGGCAGATTTGAAAAACTCAAACGGGATTTGTAACATGAAAAATAGTCTTTAGAACCAGAAATTCAATATATGGGTGAGTAGTGATTTCTCAAACACAGCTGAGCTAAGCAGGAGCTCTATGGCAGTGCTCAGCAAGCTGAACTGGAGGTGAGGAGAAGGAGGGGACACTGAGGTCATCACAGCGCCTGTGCTGTTTGGACTCGTGTTCGGTGTGTCGTTTTAACATTAAGAATGCTTAGCTGCAGACCTACGTGAGTCTTAATGCTCTCTGTGCAAGGACTCATGTGAAAGGTAACTCCCTGGGTCATCTGCAGGAAAGTGGGAATCCAATGCTGCTCTTCTTGCCTCAGTTGCAGGAATTCAAAAACAATTTTAGTCCTCCATAGCAGCAGCTCATCAGAAACACATTTTATTCTTCATGCTAAGTCAACTTTTAATCTGGTTATTTTTACCTTGTGCATTTTACATATGATTTCTTGTTTGCTTGTTCGATCATTTGAGACGGGTTTCACTCTGCTGCCCAGGCTGGCCTGGAATTCTCTATATATCCCAGGTTGGCCTCGAACTCACAATCCTCCTGCTTCTGCCTTCTCAACCCTTATGTTTATTTTTAAAGTCCCTTGAAATTATTTCTGAAAGACAGTAGAAGTGAATCTATGGAATTCTTATTCTGTAAGATGTCAAAAATTATGGATTTCTTGCCCTCACAAAATGGATTCACCTTAGGTGGTTATAGTGATTTAAATGTTTCTCTAAAGAATTATTTTCTTTAGAAGGGTTTAATTAAATATCCATACATAAGTGTTAGACCTAATTTACTTTCCTAAAATCTCTAACCAGGGCTGCCCTGGTTGAAAGGCAGAGGGAGGAGGGCAAGTTCCAGAATGCCCCGAGGGAGCTCAGTTTGGAGACTGCTGCTGCAGGATGTTTGGTCATCCAAGAAATCAGAAGTCAGACTGTTACGACCATAAGATGTGAGCCAGAACTACTGCACAGGATCCATTTTTAAGACTGTTATCACCAGTGATGACAAAGGAAATGAGAGAAGAAATAAGACACTGTCACTGCAGCTGTAAAGGCTCTGTGCTGCTTCTCCCTAGAGTCATGTAGACACAGCAACACAGGCCTAGCCACTGAAGATTTAGCTACAGTGGTTTCAAAATCACCCTGGTGTTAAGAACAGCTAGACAAGCGGAGCTAGCAGGTCTTGGTTCTCACATGGTGGACACGAGGCAGATGTTCACGTCATGCGTGCTGTTGAACTCCTTCACGATCCTGAGCCTCTCCTCTGATTTCGTGCTTCCATCCAGTCTCCGGAAGTCCAGCCCCGACGCCATGCAGTACTGCTGCAGCACGTCCAGCAACTAGAGGAAGGGCAGGGAGGACGGATGAGTTCTCCAGGTCAGACTTCATAAGCAGTGATTACTGGTGCTCACAATCTCTTTCTTAGGATTTCGTGAGCAATAAATGTTTGGGGGCTAGGGGGTGAGCTCAGTGATAGAGTGCTTGGCTAGCATGAGCAAGGCCCTGGGTTCCACCTCTGGCACCACAAATCATAAAATAAAAATTTTAAAAACCTAATAGTTTTCTCACTTCTGACCCATGTGTTTCTTCCCATTATCCTGAAACTAACTTTGACTTAGTTTTTTTTTTAAATGTCTTTCATTTTTTAAAAAACAGAAACCAAATAAAAAGACAACTGTTGGTTAAGTCATTTCTGCAAACATATCGCATCATTAGAGGTATTTCCTCCATTCTGAACTATCTCCAATGTCTTAAGAATACCTTATTTTATAACAAGAAAATCAAAAGGTAGTCTCTCTTCAGACAGAGTGTGCTATTTGACAGTGACTCCCAGTATCACGTCCACCTGTGATTGAGAGCTAAGCTCTGTCTGAAGCCTCATCACTATTTGTGATGGTGACAGTGTGGATAAGGCAGAAAATGTGGCTGTAAGCTAGTGTGCCCTGTTTCCTGCCCAGGAGCTGGGGCTGGCCAAACTGGGATACACTTGGGATGGAACTCACCTTGGTGGAAAAGGAGAAGAGAAGAACCTTGTCTCTGCTTTTCCTGAAGTGATTTAAAAGCTGCTGAAGAACCTGAGATGAACCGCAGAGCATCAGTGAGCACTTCCGGGGCAAGCACACTCACACACATACACCTGGCCACCTGAGCAGGTCCTACGAGTCGCTCCCACACAAGCCAATTCCCTCCATCTTTTCCAAGCTAGCTCTCACATCACCAGTGTCAAGAGGAGGGGAGGGGACGCTCCCGAACTGTGCTTGCCTCATCTGGTCTCAAAAGGGAGGAGCGTGGTACACTGGGAGCAGTACTTATGTGATTGATTGAATTTCCAAACTGTACTCTCTTCATGCCTCAAACACGCTAAGAAATGAAATTATGAGACAGCATCCTTTTAGGAAGGATTTAAATTGTCACAAGATAGGCGTAATGAAGTGTGTTCAATTACATCTGGATTCTACAAGTCTTGATATTTATTTTCTTTGAATAATCAATCAGATACACACTTCTCATTTTCTGCCCTTTGTTTCTCTATTTATAGTAAGTTCTGACTTCCAGATTAGATTTTGACCTCTAAATGCCAATAATCTGCCTCCCACGAAGTTCTTTCAGAGAGGAAGCAAATAGTCCTGAGCTGTGTGTAACGGGAACACTGTTATTTTAAAAAGGCATTCCCCATCTGGCAATGACAGCTCCAGAACACATGGAAAAGTAACCCACAAAGGGAAAAAAGAATCTTCTGTACTAAGTCTAAAGTTTTTCTCAACTATGAAACAAACACTTGAGCAATTTTATTTATTCAAGGATAGTAATTTAAACCTTTAAATAATAAAATTATACCCAGTATAACATGCTCTTAATGGTTAAGCATGTGAAGACCTTGTGCTAAATTCAACTCCTACCCCAAATGCCTTAAAAAGAAGCAAGAGTTTAGAAAATCTACTCAAATAGCCAATCAACTGGTACATGCAAATGTCATAGCTCAGGTAAACATCACTTTACTACCTGGAGAACATGCAAAGTATTTAGCTTTGCTTTAATAACATAACAGTCTATGAAGTATGTGCATTTGAATTTCACATAAGAACTAACTTTTCTTAATTGATAGACTTCTTCGGGTTTATACAGTTGAGTAGGAAGTGCAGAAAGCTCCCACAACTCGCTCCTGGCCTCATATACAATTATGAGAAATAACTCATTGTGGTTATTTGTGTGGCATATTCGTAACAATGGATTAGGAATACCAATGCATCATTATTAACTAGCCTATGGATTACACTGAGGTTCAGCTCTGTTGTTCACTTCTATGAGCTTACAAATGTATCATAAAGTGTATTAAAAATTACAGTATTATGCAAAATAGTTTCACTGTTGTAAGCATTCCCTGGGCTTTACCTGTTCACCCTTCCCTCCCCAGAACCCTTGGAAACCACTCATCTTTTCACTCTTCCTTTCTAGCGTGGCCTACACTCGGAGCCACACAGCACACAACCTTTTCAGAGTGGCTTCTTGCATGGAGCAGTGTGCACTGAAGGCTTCTCCATGTCTTTTCACAGTTTGGTAGTTCAGTGGTTTTTACTGCTACATAGTATTCCGTTGTGTGGTTGCGTCACAGTTTCTTTACCCATTCACCTACTGGAGGCAGTCTTGTTGCTTCCAGGCTTTGGCAATTGTGAATAAATGTGAGGTTCTTATGTGGAAGTTTTTAACTCATTAAAACTCATTTGAATAAATATCAAGGAAAGTGACTGCAAGGTCAAATGCCAGAAGTATTTAAAGTATCATTTTTATATTTGAATTTAAACAGTAAATATTTAAGAACATTGAGCTGGTGATCTGGCTCAAGTGGTACAGCACCTGCCCAGCAAGCGTGAGGCCCTGAGATCAAACCTCAGTAACGCTCCCCACGCAAAAAAAAGTATTGGGTAAGAGCTTCGTGAGAAACCACCACACAAAACTGTCTTCCAAAGTGACTGCACCACTTTGCCTCCCCACCACGAGTGAAGCTCCCATGGCCACACAGCCCCAGCATTTACTGCTGACTGTACATCGCCAAGTCAGGGTATCACCAGCTCATGGTGCAAATCAAACCGTGGGAGACGGTCCTGAAGCATGCATCTCTGGCTTTCTGTTTCACTGTTGCTACCTCAGAAAACAACCAAGTCATCTGCTGCCTTCACATGTAAGATACCATCCAGTCTCCAGCAATGACTTAGGCTTGCCTTTTTCCCCTCTAAAATTAGAATAAAAATTCCATCTGATCAGTATCTTAATCAGACACTATTATTCCTAGACATAGGATTCTGACTAAGAGTATGTTTTAAAACATGTATCTAAGGGATTTATCAAAATATAAAATGCAGAGCTATAAGACTATTTAACTTCAAGAATAATCTTTTTTTTTCACAGAGTCACAAATAAGATTCAAATGAATAGCAATTGATAATGAAGTTTTCAAAGGAGGCCGTGACTTCTGGAAGCACTCTACTGCTTTAAGTAAGGGGATGACAAGTGCTCAGTTCTAGACTAATTGAGCAGCTGACATTCTAAAATTTTTAAACAATCAAGTGAAATGGATAGAAATAAACTTACACTGTTGGAGAATATTATTAGATCTGAATTATTCGTTGTGGTGATAAATCACACGACATTCTCACTAATACAAACTGATTTATTAAAATCTATAAATGTTAATGCAATCATCTTGATTAATCGTATTTCTACCTTCTGTTTAGTTCACTGGATTTAGAGGTCCCAGGCAACTAAACCTTGATGAACTTACCTAAATTAACCGCTAAAAGTATTTCCAGAGAAAACGAAAATGAACTACTTTGAATTACTTTCTTTTTATTCCTTTTGCAAGAGAAATATGCGGCTCACCTTTTCTTCACTGTGCCATAAGGCTGGGTGTGCTTTGTGAGGCCCTATGAACCCATGCATGAAGGGATCTGACAGTTATCTTGTTGCCAGGAAGCTGTCAGCTTCTCCCGCTGCTGTCACAGGCAATGCCAAGCCTGGGTCACGTTCACAGCTGCAGAGCCTTGCTTTTCACACCCTCCTTCATCAAGAGCAGCAGAGCTGCAGGTCAGTGTCCCCGGGTATAACAAGTGTCCTCCTGCAACCTTACAATCTAGGTCAGCCAAAATAAGTGGCAGAAAAATTCAGTGTGGACACTAGCCTCTTCTCGAGCCCTTGCTTTCCTCTTCCATTAGCACTTACATTTCCTGCAGAAGTCCCGTAGGCACTTACTGCCCTTTTTCAAGGACAGCTCTTATACATGCAGTAACAGCCAACATTTTAAGACGGTAGAGGCCCAGTACATGAGTAAGGAAAGCTTAAAGTACTTTTGACACAACTGCTCATAATGAACTAGGAAATGCTGACAGAACAACACTGGGTGTGCATGGCCACTGTCTCTCCAGGCGTCTGAGCACCTGTTCTAATTAGCTGGTGCCCCGGCCACACCACTGGATTAGCATTTTGCATGTCATCCCTTCTACATACAACCTGAGAGGAGCGCGTACCTTCATCTTCCCACTGTATTTAGGGTCAGACAGCGTTTCAAAGGCTGCATCTCTGCTCTTCTGCACAAAACCTGGGAATCTGGAAAATACCTGCTCACATATCCGTTTGGTAAGAGTTTCCTTGAGAGGAAAAGGTAGAAGACAAGAGAGTTCACCTTAACACATTCGAGCCTGCAGAACTTGGAGTTGCTTATGAACATTTCCTCTTACAAAGAACAAATTACTTTCAAGATTTTGCCTTCTCTAAATCACATTAATAATGCAGAAAATCTTAAGGTTTGATGACTTGTTAATGATGTGGTTACAAAGTTTATCATTACTTTTTCAAGGTTTCCAAAACAAGGAGGCAAACACTCCCAAAAGAATAAAAAAGAGTAGTATGAAATTCTTAACAGATTTCAAAGTTACACTTAAAGTGTCAACTCAGAACAAAAAGAGAACATAAAATAATTACACAAAAGCAAGATATTTTATTTATGTTGTGTTCTAGACTAAGATATAATTGAAGTAACCAAAATAATGCTTAAACTTAAGCCTAAACTTTGAAATTACTGATTCTTGTCAGCCTCACTACTTAAAATAGAGATTACTATAGGTCTACTTTACTCAGGAAACAGGAGAAATATAAACAGGATCATTTATCAAGTATCTTAGTAATTATACCAAAGGATATCAGAAAATAAATGCATGAAGCATTTACTAAAAACTCTTAGAATTATAAGAGCTTAAGTGTAAATTTTTCAGCTTAATTAAAAACTTATATGCACATATTCCTTGGTGCCTAAATTTTACTTTTTAAAAAAATTATTGATTTTTTAGCACTGGCAATGGAACCCAGAGCCTTGCTCATGCCAGGCAGGTGTTCTTCCATTGAGCTATATTCCCAAGCCCCCACATTTTAAAATGAGAAAATCAGTCTTCTCTGAAATCTCATAAAAAAAGGGATACTAAGCTAAGACATTATATACCACATATCAACTTTATATCCATAACATCACAAAGAAATGTAAAAAGCCAACACAAGCCTGATGTCTGGAGGTGCTGGCAGCCTGCAGCAGGGCGACGTGGTTAGCCACCTTCTGAAGGACTGTAAGGTAACTGAGATACAAGGTTTTCACTGTTTCACCATGTGAATTGGTCTGCAGTTGGAAAAATATAGAAAATAGAAACAAGAAAAGGACTAACATGACTACATAGCTGTTCACATCATGCAATATGACTTACAATGACATCCACTATCTAGTTACTCCTGGCGTAATAAATCCTAAAATGATGACCAACTGTTTACACAAAATGTCCATGAATCACTGAAGTGGAATCATTCCAGTGAGTCATACTACAATGATGTTCTTAATAAAAGAGCGGAGAAGTCTGCACTTATTTATCCTCACGATACACTGTGAGAGGTGCTGCCATTAAGAGGTGGCTGCTAACAAAACTATGATGCTGTGACAGTACTGTACAGACCCCCTCACCCCTAATTTATGTTCTGACATTTCCTAGGAAACTGGCCCATTACAAAAACGGGTAGAGGTTAAGAAAAGCAAAATAAGATCTGGGGCCATGGCTCACACGGTAGAGCGCCTGCCTAGCAAGGCCTTGAGTTCAAACCCCAGGACTGCAAAAATAAAATAATAAATAAGATAAAGTAAATATCAATGTAGATAAGTGGTCACTCAGGATCCCTGTGCGGACATGGGTCTGTGGTGTAAAACAAAGAGGTGGGAAAGAACAGGAATACAGACAGAAGGTAGAAAAGAACAACTGAATTTTGTTTCATTTTACTGATGCATAGTGTCTATTAAATTGACACTTTATCTAGCACAGTAATAGTATTTAACCCTGCAGTCAGTAAGTAAGTCGTTTTACTAGGAGTGGCTACTTCCCAATACAAGCTGAGAGGGAAGCAGTTTCTAAAGTTACTTTTTGGGAAAGGCATGTGAGTATTACACTTTGTATGTGTTACCATAGCTTCTGTAGCTTCTGGTTAAAGGACTGCCTGAGGATGAGCTACCTTCTGATCTGCTACCATTCCCAGCAGAGACCCCCGTGGCCTGGAGAGCCCGGAGGTGAGGGCACACATGGGCTTGCCTTGTAACAGCAGTTTCGCCTCTTCCGGCCGCTGCTGCAGGTACAAGGCTGAGAAGACTGGAGGATCAAAGTCACATCTTCTGTCTCCAGCACCGTTTGATAGACAGCTTTCTGGAAGTCTGTCAAAGCACAATAAACCATCTGCCAAGATAACACAAGACAGACATAAATACCTTTTTTGTAGCAGTAAGAATAAAAATCATGTCAGGTGCTGGTGGGTGGCTCACACTGTAATCCTAGCTACTTAGGAGGTTGGGAATGCGGGGACCCCAGTTCCAGGTCAACTCAGACCAGAAAAAAAACTCATGAGACTCCGCTGCAATGAAGACAGGCTGCACATGGAAGTGCATGCCTGTCATCCCAGCTACAATGGGAAGTATTAAACAGGAGGGTCCCAGTCTAGGTCAGCCTGGGCAAAAAGTGAGACCCCATCTCCAAAAGAACCAGAGTAAAAAAGGGCTGGTGGAGTGGCTCGTGGTGGAGCTCCTGCCTAGCAAGCGTGAGGCCCTGAGTTCAAACCCAACAACCCCCCTCAAAGAATAACCATAATGTACATCAGAGTTACCAGACTGCAACAGTGAAAAGTCATCATGAGCAAGCTTCTCCCTCTGGTCACTTCAGTGTGACAGTTCCTCCCAATTCTCTTATAGCCTCTGCTCTTCCTCTCTCTAAGCTATATCCCTTATAATTTCAAACAACGCTCATTGAGTTTGTCTTTGTTTACAATTGAAGGAAATACAATGTGCTAACACAAGCCACGTGAACTCCTTGTGTACCTCTCAATAGACTGTGAGTTTTCTCAGGGTTCTCAGTCCCACATGTAAGTAAACTATTAAAATTTAGGCCAAACAAAAAACTTGATTAGGAAAAGAAGATACCAGAACAACAGCACGAAAAATAAATGCTTCATGAAATACTTGGAAAACATTGAAAACTTCATGTTACTGAACACAGCTATTTATTATAGTTATTTCTACAAATTCCCAAGATTCGCAGAGATAAGAATTAAGTAAACATACATAAAAGCAACATGAGTTGCTATCCTGTGCCAAAATTCAAGAAAAGAACATGATAAAACAATGCTACAAGTTATGAGGGATATAACTTACCTTGTATTTCTGATAGCAATGGGAATTAGTAAAATTCTTCTAGACATAGCTGTAACTGGAGTCATAAGACTAAGTGTACTCACAAAGGAGTTTGAGGAATATTAACGAGAAGGAAAAGCCTTCTATTAACAAATGCATATATGTGCATATTACCACAACAGAACACGATTGCAAAGAGATGTGCCTTTAGCACACACAGGGATGTCTACAGAAACAATCTGTCAGTAAGACGCCAAGTGCCTCTTGGCTCCTGATCTTGGATATGAAAGTGCATATAAGAACAAGAACACAGAAGATGGTAGTCAGTGACTACAAGTATGGAGGGATTTTACACCGTTATTATCAAACAGTGACATGCATTCACAGCAGCCACGTGAGGCAGGCTTAGCATCACCTCCATTTCAGGAGGGAAGAAATCCAGGTTTGAGCCCCTCAGCAAACGGCTCCAGGTCATAAATTTTTAAGAGGGAGGGCCCACAGAGCCCGAGCTTAACTCTCAAAGCACAGCTCTCTCTTCACATCTTTATGCTTTTGTTGTTCCTTCTGAAAAGATACCTACACAGTGTCTGTGTCTACAATTGCAGAAACCTCTTTAAAAAGCAGGGGTTCATGAAGTATCTTAGTACAGTAACATTTGCTGTAGATAAATATCAAGAATAATATGTTGTGCCAATCTCCCCAACTTCATATCAGATCCATCTTTAGATAGCAACAACCAACAGAACATCCTAGAACTGGAGAGCATTTGTTGAGGGTTTAAGCCTAGGTCCCAAGCTGGTGATGCTACTTAGGAAGGTTCTGGAAACTTCGGGAGGCAGGGCCTTGCTGGAGGAGGTAGGTGGTGGGTCCCTCGCCCCTTCCTGTCTCCCTCCCTTTGCTTCCCGTCCACAGATGAGAAGTTTCTCTGCCACACATGATGTTCTGCCTCACGGCAGACCCAGAGCCAAGTGACCATTGACTGAACCTTCTGAGACGGTAAGCCCAATTAGACCTTTCCTCTTGCAGTTCTTCTCTCGGGGACTTTGTCACAGTGATGAGAAAAGTAACCGACGTAGCGCAAGATATGATTACCTTTATTTGAGACAACATGAATTAGATTTAGGTCACAGCAAGTTATGGAATCTGTATTACACTCCCTAGGCTCGAAGAGCCCAAGATTTAAAACTATAAAACAGAAGCTGGGCACTGGTGGCTCATGCCTGCAATCCCAGCTACTTGGGAGTCTGAGATTGGGAGGATGGTGATTTCAGGCCAAGCCAGGCAAATAGTTTGTGAGACCCCATTCCCAAAATAAGCAGAGCAAAATGGACTAGTGGTGTGGGTCAAGCAGTAGAATACCTGCTTTGCAAGTGCAAAGTCCTGAGTTCATAACCTAGTCCCACAAAAAAAAAAACCCAAAAAAGAAACTGTAATTTTTTTTAAATACTCTTAAAGTCAACTTGAATTTTCTCACACAATTATTAATGCCATTTTCCTACAAATTCAAAAAAAGATTAGGTTAGTTGTAAAGTTTAAATAGATTCTACATGAAACGAATCTAGGAAAAAGCCTGTTAGTCACTTTGGTCCAGTGACTGGAATGCAGGGACATGGCATGTGCTGGTGTAGATGGCAGACAGTACAAGTGGAGGAAGCACCACCTACGCAAGGAAACTCGTTAGCGAGAAAAGCTGTGCTACTTCCTTTAGGAAGAGCTGGGTCCAAAGCTTGGTTAAGAATGAGTTTCATAGCGTTATGGTTTGGATTCATGTCCCAGAAGGCCCGTAAGTGACAGGCTCTGTCGGGAGATGGTGGAGCCTTCAGGAGCTGGCCCCATGGAGGGCGTGAGGTCCCTGGAGCAAGCCCTGGAAGGGAATATGAGGACCCTGATCACTTCCTGCGCCTGTTCTTGCTCCTGGCACTAAGGTAAGGTGAATGTCCCAGCAGTCACTCCCTGCCATGACGTTCTGCCTTGCCACAGCTCCAAAGCAGTGGGGCCAAGCACCATGGATCAAAACCTTGGAACTGAGAACCAAAACAAACTTTCTTTTTTTAAGTTGATTTACCTGAAGTACCTGTCACACCAACCGAAAGCTGCCTAACATACTGACACCACACCTGCTAGCACAATTAAACCTAGGCTCAATCAATGTTTTCTGAAATTCTGCATCGAACACTTTTGCTGCACAAAGTAAAAGTCACAGAAGTATATTCATAAAAGACCACGGGAGCTAGACTTGAAAAGAGGAATTTTCATTGAAACTGAAGTATGACATGAAGTTAATGATGGACAAAATGTTGTTGTTCTCACCCGGTCCTCCTTCCTGGGCAACTGATCCTGGATGAGAGCTTTGGTCCTCCTGAGAAACCAGCCCGACATCTTCTCGGCAAGCCTGCACATGGCCTTCCGGCCTGTCGCCAATTCTCTTTTTGTTGCTGTGTGTCTCTGGCCATGTTCTACCGGGTCAGAAAACTGCTTCTGGAAGTGGACCCTGCTTCCAAAAAGCCCTGGCACAGCCCTTCACAAAGGAGATAAGAAAAACATCATGGCTTCAAGTTAGCTAAGGCATATATGCAGCCATTTGCTTTTTTGATGACAGCAAGAAAACAAGACCTCTGCCTTGTCACTAAAGGTGATGAGGATGGACCTGGTGAGCTAGAGTGCACTGGTACAGAGGACCAAGAGCCATACACAAAGACAGGCTGTCATGGGCTCTCTACTCTGTGTAGCCTTAGGGATCAAGTAGTGCTTCACAGGTGCCCGACTGCCTTTTGTTCTTGTTTTCTCAGAAACTAACAATCACAAATCAAGGCAGCATTAAGCTAATAATAAAAACACAACATGTTCACCCACCAGTCCATAACACACCACAGCTCCTTCATGTTGTTCTGCAGGATGGTTCCAGTGAGGCCGATGCGGACGGTGCACCGTAGAGCTTTCATAACTTCTGTCACTCTGGCCTTTGGATTCTTGATTCTATGGGCTTCGTCCACAATGACAGCTGCCCACTCCAAACTAGAAAGTGAGGAAACAAGGGGAAGGGGCTGAGAAACTCCTCCCCTTACTTTAAAGAAGTTTGAGAGCAGTTTTCTCTGCAAAGTTTTGAAGGGTTTTTCCTTTTTATTCTTTGATGATTCCAGGTTCCTAACTAAGTAGGAACCCAGCTAGTTAAGTGGTCACAGGTTTACAGCCCAGCAAAATAAAATGCTTATGGACAGCACCAAAGGGAACAGAAGGCATGGTGATCCCAGCTATGCAGGAAACCATGGGTAGGAGGATTGGAGTTCAAGACCATCAAGGCAAAAACCCAAGACCTTATCCAAAAAAATAACTAAAATAAAAAGGGCTGCGGGTGTAGCACAGTGGTAGAACTTCTATCTAGCAAGCATGAGGTCCTGAGTTCAAAACCCCAGTACCACAAAAAGAAAAAAAAACCCATAAGGGTATAGACATTATGCTTAATAATGTGGGAATGAAACTCTCATTTAAACATCACTAAGTGACAATAAAGGAATTTTTAAAAGTAACAAACCAGAGAGAGAGAAGTATAAAAGAAGCGAAATTTGTAATGTTAAATGTAAATGAAAACAAATCAATATAGACTCATGGTCTTTTGAAAGTCGTAATGCAGCACTCTGTTTACTGATAGTAAACAGTCCCCAGTGGCACCCAATGGGCAGTCTACTAACAGGAACCAGTGTTCTCTGGAACAGTAGAGAAATAGGTGGTGTCTGGCAGTAGGCAGGGGAAACACCAAAGAGGAGAAAGCACAGATGTACTCACAAAGGCAGACATGTCCAAAGGACACAGGAGCCGGCCTAAGTAGATAGCCAGGCATCAAGCATAATGACTATGGGAATTATTAAATCCCCTGGAAACATTACAGATACATAAAGCTGACCACGGAGTCAACAGAGATGGGAAGGGTTTGGGCTAGACTTCCCCTTTCAAAGGACAGCCTTTGTTAGGTGTGTGCAGTTTATTCAGTGCTACTGTGTGTGCAGTAGGGAACTTGAGTCCTCTGGGGGAACATCTAGTCTTTCTAAATGTTTAGAATTGCATCACGTTAAAATAGAGGGCTAGCTCTGTGACTTCATAGGAATGGTTGCATTTTGGGAATGGAATTGTTAGACTATGTCTTGGGGAGTATGTGACTGCTCACTGGGAGGTGGTAGGGGTTGGGTGGGGAAGGAAATATGCAGAGACTATGCTCTTTGCCTGTGAGGTTGGTTCCAGTGTCTAGCCATTGTTCTAGATGCATTTCAGTTAGTACTGATGGGTACTGAAGGATAAGTCCTAATGCCAATGTATGTTAGAAGTGGGGATAACCCTACACAGATGTGCTTTTGCTAAGTTTTAGGAAGAGCGGCTTATGAATCGGCCTCTGGGAGCCGTGTTGTCCTGAGTTGGTCACTGGAGGATGAGGAGGGCTCTTGCTGGAGTGTGCACATCTAGAAGGTGGATCTTCATTATAATCAAAGCCACATGAGCATTTCTGGGAAAGCACTTGTGTTTACCGTGCACCTAGTTCATTGTTACACAGCATCTAAGCTTTATAGATGGCCTGAGGAGGCAGTGTATGGTGAAAGGGGGAGCCAGTGGAAGAGCCAACTTGTAAACAGGCTCAAGCAGCAGAAAAGATGCATGTTAGGCACAGAATTGTCACTACCTCCGGGCAATGTGAGCAGCACTTGTTCATTAGGCTGGTGCACAGCGGCTGAAGGAAGCCTATGGGAGAATTCTGTGCAGGTGGCTGAGATCTCCGGTTTTATGAGAGCCGCTGACACAACAGAGATGCGTTAATTCAGTGGGAGCATACCTGCCTGCTCATATTTGAAGAGTATAGACAGGACAATGAGCTGTCTTATGAACCACGCTTCGTGAGCTCTGCTGCTTTACATCTCATGGTGAATGGAGCATAGAGGGAATGCTGTATTGTAACCCTGCCAGTGCTTCTGTCTAGAGAGGCCTGTTGCCATTTCTGCCTTCAGTGAAATTTTTGTCCCCAAGGAAGGCAGGATTGCAATTTTTTCCTAGCAGATTGAGTTGGTGTAATGCATTCTTGGTTATCAAAATATTCATGTGGCTTTGGGATTTTTGAGTTGGTGAGTATTCAATGTGTTTGAAAAAGCACGCCACAGACCATATGATCTCAGTTAACCTAAAATGGATCATTGTATGTACACATAGGATTTAGAACATTCCAACTGCACTGCTTGTGATTATGGGAGATTTTATTCTTTGCTTCATGTGTTTATTTCCTGTAATGCACATGCTAACTTAAAAAAATAAAGATTATTTTAAAAACCTGGAAAAAAAAAAAAAAGACGAATGACTATGAACTGGGAGCGGTGGCTCATACCTGTATACTTGTTACTGGAGAAGTGGAGACGGACAGGATCTCCAGTTCAAACCAGACCAGACGAAAAGTTTGTGAGACCCCCACCTCAATCAATAAAAGAAAAGCTGGGCATATTGCACATCTATAATCCTAGCTACATGGGAGCCATAGGTAGCAAGAGCCTATCTAATAATAATGATGGTAATAATAGTAATAACCTAAAGCAAAAAGTGCTGGAGAACCGGCTCAAGTGGTAGAGCTCCTGCCCAGCAAGTGCAAAGCCTGAGTTCAAATCCCAATACTTAAACATGAGGTAAAATTATAAAACTTATAAAAACCTAGAAACAGTCTTTAAGATTCTGGGCTAGGCACAGACTTCTTAGACAAGACGCCAAAACACAGTCAAGTTAAATTTTTGGTAAATTGGACTTTGTCACAGTTAAAAACTTTTGCTCGTCCAAAGACACCATTAAGAAAATGAAAAGAGGCAGGTGCTGGTGCTCACGCCTGTAATCTTAGTCTCATGGGAGTCAGAGATCAAGAAGATCAAGGTTTAAAGCCAGCCCAGGCAAATAGTTCACAAGACCCTATCTCAAAAAAACTCAACACAAAAGAACGCTGGAGGAGTGACTCAAGAGGTAAAGTGCCTGCCTAGCTGCCTAGCATGTGTGAGACCCTGAGTTCAAACCCCAGTACCCCCTTAAAAAAAACCAAAAAACAAAACCAAGGTAAGGTAATGAAAAGACATGCTATAGACTGGCAGAAGACATTTGCAAGTGACAGACATGTGAAGGACTTGTATATGGTATACGTAAAGAACTACTGCAACTCAACATAAAACAACCCAGTTAAAAGATCGGCAAAAGATTTAACAGACATCTCACCAAATGTTGTCTATTGGAAGACATACAAATGTCAAATAAGCATGCCCACAGTGACACTCAAGAAAAGACTAATGACAAGGAAACAATGTTTGTGCAAGTTCAGTGTAGACACATGCATTTTAGCAAATGTTTTTGATCCGAGTTGGTTGAATCTCTGGATGTGGAACGTGTACATGTGGAGCGTCAAATATACTTAAAATCACTAACAATTGTTCTGTAAGAGTTAAAGCTCACTGAAGTTGATTCTAGCAAAATCCTCCAGCTGGGCTTGAATGGCTAGCTGTGGCAGAGATGGACCCAATTCTTCCTGTCATTTTCTAGAGGAGCTATTTTGCCCTCAGCCACATAGCTAAGTAATGACCTTTATACTTTCTATTTTTGAGCCAGGGTCTCTGTGTGCTGCCCAGGCTGACCTTGAACTTGCAATCCTCCTACCTTACCTCCCGAGTACCTTGGATTACAGGCATGCACAGCATGTCCAGCTGCTATAACTCTTAGATGTATTGTATTTTCTGCTGATAAAATCTGTGACACAACTATGATTATTGTTCTTTGTGTTTAATCCCATGCTGATCTGAAAGCATCACTTTTAAAAATAACCGGGTTTTCTGCTATTACCTACTTCACAGGTAGTAATTCAAACTGACTGTGACTATCACTGTAGTATTTTAACATCTGAAACACTTGTTAGCTAGCTTTCTCTTGCCATACCTGCATGAACGCTATGCTTACAGGGAGAAATCTGAGCTGGCAGCGGGTCAAAGTCAACGGTGGCCAAGGTTGTGCTGACACAAGCATGGAGATGCAGACCTGACCACCATGCTCCATCGCCACCACGGTGGGGGCCTTGCACCCGTTTGCTAAAGGGAACCACGGCCGCCACTGCATGGCCGAGACCAGGCGTGTCTCCCCGCAGTGCTGGACACTGGAGCTCCGGGTGAAGGTGCAAGCAGGAGCCTCTGCTCCCCGGCTTGCAGGTGGCTGGCTGCCCTCTGGCTATCTCCACGTCTCCTTTTCTCTGTCCGTGCATGCTCTTTCTTGGTGTTTGTTTTGGAGGGTACCAGTGATGCTGGGTTAGAGCCCATCCACACGGTCTGATTTGAATTTAATCACCTCTCCCAAGTCCCATCTTTAAATACAATGATGTTCTGAGGTTCTGGGGTTGTGGCGGGGAGGAAGCACCACAACAAACATCTTTGTTGCTCTTTCTCCCAAGTTGGCTTTCCTCTATCTGCATACAGAGCAGTCAGGGCACTTATAAAATGCAAATCTTACCACTTTTTCAGTCTATAATTAGCTAAAAACACTTCAAGGGCACTCAACTGTTCTAGGACACAGGCCAAATCCTCTCCGTGGCTCTCAGTACCCTGCATGAGGTGTCCCTTTCCTCACCATGCTGCTTCCTGGCCACATCCCACTTACACTCCAGACCACAGTGCCTTTCGTGTGTTTGCATGTGTGTGTGTGCACGAGTGCATATTTCACCAGTGTATGTTCACAAAAGACTGCCATAATAAAAACTATTCATGCAAAATCCACCTACCAAGCAACTGCTAAGTTGAACACTAAGTTCAAACCCCAGTACTACCAAAATAAATAAATAAAAGTTAGTAAGTAAGGAGGGGGAGGACTTATTCAAGGTACATGGTATGTATGGAATCCCCTTGTGCTGTTAATGTATGATAATTCAAAAATAAAATAAAATAATAAAGCCAAATTACTCACAAAGAGTCACCGCCCTAGCCCACAGGCACCATGCACATGTGGTGCTTAGAAGTCTCAGCACCCTTTAACAGGTGTTGTTTGAAGACGTGCCCATGCTGAATTTAAGGAACAGGATGAGAAACTGGGAAACCTCATGAAGGCTTTTCCTTCTCAGAGAATAAGTTATTACAAAGTATATATTTCAATAAATCTGAAAGGAAATTCCACCAAGCTTAAGAAACTTCACAGCTTTTCAAAAATCAGAATGTAAAGGGTAAACACAAGCGACGTGGGCAGAACGTGGGTGGCGGCACCCCCCAAATCTTGCTACCTGTTCAGCTCATCCAGACACAGGCGCAGCGTCTCATATGTCGTTAGAGCAATCTCACACTTGCTCTGCTTCACGCGGGTCAGCGCACTGTCTTTCTTGCTGCCATGTAGCACAGTGACTCTGAAGTACCCCCACGTATCCAATTCATCTTTCCAGTTGTAGAGGACAGAAAGTGGAGCGACTATCAAGAACATCTAAAAGAAGGAAAGATAAAAGCCCGTGTGACAACAATGGGATTGGACTTTGGGTACATGATAAAAGCGAGAGCACACAAGGGAGGGGTGAGGATAGGTAAGACACCTAAAAAACTAGCTAGCATTT